CTTGTATTTATTTATTTATTTATTTATTTATTTATTTATTTATTTATTTATTTATTTATTTATTTATTTATTTATTTATTTATTTATTTATTTATTTATTTAGGTGCACTGTTTGACAAGACTGGCAATTTTAACACATTGTTTTATTTGACCGGTGCTATAGCTATCCTGGGTGCAATTTTACATCTTATTGTGGCACTTCTATCAAGAAAGCAGGAGGTAAAAGAAAAGAGAAGAACAAAAGAAACACTTGAAGATGATTCACCAGAAATGTTAGCTGTTATGGATTCTCAATAACCTTTTCTTGAACTTATAAGACTTACTAAACCACGAGAATTATTTGCTTTACACTTTCACGAGTCATATAATTACCTGCGCGCTGCTTCGTGCTAGCTTTCAGTTCCATCGGTATTTAAACACAGTTGTAATTTACTTGCTTGTTACCTTTCAAAAAAACGTGAATGAGTGGGAATTTTTTAGTGACCAGATATTTGATTTAGAATAATTATTATAGTGATAAAAACTGTTTCTGTACACAGAATTATATAGTAACAACTACTTAGATAAAACAGGACATCTCTATTCAATTATACCAATACTTCCCTGGTTTAGATCAGTTCCAGAGCTATCACATAGACGTTTTATATATGTCCAGGCCATGTGTCTAAATCCACCAATGTGCATTGTTGTCATAACATACGCGTAGAGTTTAAATGAAGTAAAACTAATCGTACCCAAATTTCAACAACCCAACATAGCACAGCATTGTTAGTCCTAGGTGTATAACATAACATAAATCATGTCATATGGTTTGCCTTAAAATTCATGAAATTATATGATATAGTTCACACCAATAGTAAATATCTCGCAAATAAGTCAGCCATTTTGAATCAGAGATTGAAAGAAAATGAACTGTAAAGTTGCATTGCAATCAGTCAAGACTTGTCAGAAGGACTTTTTTTAATACAAACTCTTTGTCATTTAATTATATTCAATCAAATCTGAAAAAACAAGGTAGCATTACAATATCTTAGAAGAACCCATGTACTTCATCCCACATTTTCATATAGTCCATTGAACCTGATTCATTGTTCAAAAAAAATTACATCTTCAAGAACACAAAATAAATTACAAGCATTACACACGTGGTCAAATCTGACATTTTTTTTCAATGCTGTTACAATCCGATCAAAAATAAATGTTTCGATTGAAAATCGATCAGTGATTCGATTAGAATATGACATAACCCTCGTGTAATTATTCTATTTACCCTCTTCGAACATACCTTTCTTTGCACAGCGTCAGTTTAAAGCGTGTCATCACCTGCGCACGCGCGGGAATTGAGTCCCAAGCGACGATAACAACACACGCTAAAAACGCAAAGGCAGGCGACGACTCCCCGCTTTAGGGTTGAATTTTATAACTACCACAATTAAGCCTAATATACGAAAATTGGCTTATACGATAGACATTCCCACACAAAATGCTTAGTGAAGTCAAAGTTACAATTTCATTAGTTTACTGGCTGTAACTATTTAATTAATCAGAATAACAGGTGTCGCAAAAATGCTCAACACACACTTCTTGTATTTGCCCTGGGCAGATGTTGTGTTGACGATGATCCCTCCACAGCCACCACTGAATGTTCCAATGTGATCAACAGCCAGATTTGTATCTCTGATAGTCCCCTACCTAATTACAAATATTTGTGGTAACTATATTACGAGACTTGGTGACTAAAATTAGAAGTTACTGGGGTTCAAGACATCTGACATTCACTTGGGCGTGAAGTTTTAACTTCTGTTACTTTTGATCCTGCCCAACTGGTGTTTATTATGGCGGCAAAGTATTATTGAGACTACCATAACAATACAAACAATATAAATATAATATCACGTATATTATATCAACGTGTTTGAGATACCAATACGCTATGTTTATCAAAACACATATCTTTATAACGTAATAAAATGCATTTTCGTATCTGTGAAAGAGAAAGAAATTTACCCTAATGCATCTAGGCAAGATTGTTATGTCAGATATGTTCACATCCCACCATAAATTAAAACGGTATCCTATGCAATTAGTATTATCATCTACATCAGAGATGTGTAGTAATACTAAAACTTTTTGAATTCATTTAATATGTAATAAAATTGAATTATTTTCAAACTAATTTAAGTCCATGTGTATCATGCAGCGAAGGTATTACGAAGGCGTACGATGTGGCCAGACGTAAATTCCAGTAGTTTTGTATATAGTCTTATTATTATTATTATACGCCAACTTTGCCATTCTATACTTTAACAATGGCTAGACTGTGAATGCATTATAATCAGCTATACGATATACATAAGTCACATCTTATCATACCATTGCCATGACAACACATTAGTTAATACAGTTTTATCATTATAATCACAGTTACTAGAAGTAATCGTGTTACAATCTAACGTGTATTTTTATTGGGTAGTTTTTATTTGGGTAGACATTCAAGTCCGATGTGTATCTCCCGCATGACCCAATTTTTGGGTATAAATAAATGGCGATCCGCTCCGATACACATTACAACACAGATACTGATATGCTTCATGTGCACCAAGGACAGGAACCACACATTGACCACACACAAGCGTAATACCCTTTTCTTTATTTCACTGATGGCGGGGGGGGGGGGGGGTAACCAACCAGGCGAGTCAAGTATTCCTGATGTTTGTGTGAACATGCTGACTGTATGCCAGGGTATGTATCTTTATGTAGCAGTGGACTGATACTGAACAGGTGCTAAACTTCACTTACCTAGAACTCAAATGTTTCTTTCTTTTTTTTATCTCAATTCATCCGGTGAAGAAAAATAGGTTTCTAAAATTTCATTTATGAAAGTTCCCCCGATATGCAAACATGGAAACCTATTTTCAATATTACGACAAAATGTTTAGGCAATATCGCCTCCACAAGCTGTGCATGTGCCGCCAACGCACCTATTGCTTCTGTTCTAAATGTTTGAAATATTTTTCTTTTTTTCTGCTAATTTGGTCTAGCTATAAATTTAAAAACGTTTGACCTAATGATCTAATAGTGAAGTATAGTAATTTGAAGTTTGATGTAATTCAATTCTGGAAATATCTGAGAAGTTCGTGGTTTTTAAATTTACCTTTTGTGTGGAAAAACACGATGTGTGTTTAGTTGGGTTTTGGTACAAATGTTCACCAGACCAGGAAGACGGAAACTTTAGAAGGAAAGGCGATTCAATAGTTTTTAATTGAACTTTTAATTAGTAACGGAAATTTTGGAGATAGAAAACACTATATTTCGAGAATTACATTTTACCTCTGGATATTCGATGTTCAGATACCTCACGACAGGTAGTTATATTGTGTGTGTATATTTTTGATTGTGCAAGTTGCAGGTTTTATGTATATGTATTCGGAAATTTCCAATGTTTCCTTGTATGGAAGCTGTATCTTCATATGATGGGAACTGTGGGAGTTATGTGGTTGATGGTATTAATATATGTATAATTATATATACATATGAAAAAGACAAATTCATCATATTAGTATTAATTAAACAATAATTAATCCGATATTATTTTGAAGGAATTTAGAAAATTGATCGTTTGACTGGATTCCCTACATTAGTGAATAGTTTTTTTTTTAGATTGTTCATGTAGTTCTGCATCAAAGCTGAACTTAAGATAACCAGGAACTGCTCATTTCGCGTGATTCTCAACGATGTGAGTTGCCTAGTAACCTAAATTACTAAATATAGGTTAAAAAGAATTAGTGTTAGGTTTGTAATAA